TATATATATATATATATATATATATATATATATATTATATATTATAATATATTATAATATATATAATATATTATATATAAGTATATAATATATAATATTATAATATTTAAATTCTAGTATTATAATATATTTACTCATACCTAATATAAAATATTTTTCAAATAAGAAAATATATTTTCTCATAGAATCTCAGTTTTTTCATAAAAGCAATTGTTTACTTCAATAAAAGAATTCAAGTTAATTGTCTATTTGACAATAATAATAATTATTGTCTATTTAAATAAAAGAATTTATGGTGACTTCTCCTCGCCATATCGACGTCATCGTGATTTTGTGTTCTTCCTGGGCCCGTTTGATCCAAACGCGCGCGTTTGGTCCGATTTCGCAATAATATTATAAGTACAAATGAATCAGCGACGCTCCCCGAATCGCGCTTACGCAAACGTAGTGTGGGTGTGGGCGACATTTATTCGCCTAGTGTCGCCACCCTGCGTGACTGGCCTCTCTAATTGCATCAATTTCGGCGAATGTTAATGAACGCGTACATACGCCGCGGCTAATTCGACCCAATTGTTCGCGAATTCGAATGCAAGTCGGCCGCATGGCGCGTCACGTCCAATTAAGAGCGATTTCCGTCATAGAATCGACTGGTGCTCGCTCGTGCCAACGGTGTGGTCGGCGCAGTTTCTCCTGGATAATCGAGCGAGCGTGCGTGCGAGAGAGAGAGAGAGAGAGAAAGAGAAAGAGAGAGAGAGAGAGAGAGAGAGAGAGAGAGAGAGAGAGAGAGAGAGCAAGGGAGAAAGAAACAGACAGAAACAGAGAAAGATCGACATCAGGATCGAAGCGACACTTCTTGTCGGACGATCTGGATCGCACCTCGGGATCTCCGCGCACCTCGAATTCGTTATTTCCAATGCAGCCTGCGTTTCCTGCTTTGCCTTGCGTCTGATTTTATCGTGTGCTTCGATTTGTTGCGCCCGAAGAAGAAGAAGAAGAAGCTCGTGATAAGCAAACGCTATAAGATAAACACGAAACACGAGAAGAAAAGCGATCGCGTCAACTCGAGTCAAGAAATAACGCGAGGAAAAATCTTTGTTGTCTACATACTTCCTCCCTTATCTCTTGCCGCAGACGGAAAAAACTCGGCAACGTTCATCAGATTGGGGAAAGCCCGTAATCGGAAAAATCGCGATGGATCGCGTGTTATCGCGCGCGGGATTAAAGACACCCGTCATCAAGGCATCGTCAATCGACAAGATCGTCTTTCCACCTTCCCGGTCGGTTGTGTGCGACAATTGTAACAATTAATTACGGATGACGCTCGTCTTTATCATCAAATCGTCTTTATCATCAATTTGTCGTTCAAGTAAGAACAATAAATTTGTATGATTTTGTGTGTCTGTGCATTGGTGTGCGTGTCGACGATCGTGTCGATTGTATATCGATGATGAGCTGAGAAGTGATATTTCGTCCCAGATAGCAGGAGCTTCTGCACAAGACGTCTTTAAAGTGCGTAGCAGAGACGTCTGGAAAAGTATATCAACAGAAAAGTAGTCAAAGAATAAGTAAATATTTATTTGATGGATACACACACACGCTATAGTAGTAACCCCTTATAGAAATATCATACTAAGAATCATTGATAATTACTTATTTTCAGTATTAAAAAATACTGGATAATAAGTAATTATTAATGATTCTTAGTATGATATTTCTATAAGGGACGTATTTGCTCAAACCTAAATTCTAATTTTTAAATTTGAATAAAATAAATAATAGCTTCCATGTGGAGAAGCTAAGGTTTTAAGAAAAAGTCCACTTTCTTATTTGGAAAATAATTTGTATCAGTATAAGGAAATATGTTATTATAGTATCGATCGAATAAATATTTTGTATTGCTTAAATGTTTATTTTTTCAAAGTGCAGAACGTTTTCAAGACGTTGTCTTAAAGACGTCTTTTAGAAATTTCTGCTAACTGAATTCATTATTATTATTATAGAGTAAACGGGAGGAAACTTAATATCCTTTTGAAGACACAATGCAGATATATACTTGGATATGCATTATATACACTTGCATATGTCACGTTTAAAAAAAATATCTACAAATTGAACAGCAGGAAAATATTGTAAAATTCAGAAATATGAAATGTCTGAACAGAATTTCCCAGTAAATAATTCTATTTTTAGACACGAAGTCAAAAAAAGAGAGATGGATAGATAGAAATAGAGAGAGAGAGAGAGAGAGAGAGAGAGAGAGAGAGAGAGAGAGAGAGAATTCTAAGTCTGCTGAAAATCTGAATATGGTGATTTTTGCAGACACGAGATATAATTTCTTGGCCCCAGATGGCAATATCTTGATCATCGTTTACGGTGCAATATCCTGCAACGTTGATGAATTTCCAAATTGAAAATCCTTCATTAAGTTTCATATTCGACGGACTTTGACGCGAATTGCGCAAATTAGATCGTGATCACCTTGAGCGCGCTGAAAGCGGTGCTAGATCGTGTAAAGTAAAAAGAGAAAGCTATCGGGACTCTCGTAAAAGATAGATCATTGTTGCGCCGATTGGCGGAGCTGACAATTCGCGAAATCCGCGCGCGGTATGTGGGCAAGATAATTCGATGTTTTGCAGACGCATGTACACACGCACAGACGCCGAAACACAGGCAGGTTGTGCAGTCGCAGAATTGCATTAGTTCCGCACGGGGATTGGCCGTCGCAAAGCGCCCACGTTATTCATTGTGCGGTAGATGAAGTAACAATTCGAAGGCGAGAGTGGATAATCGTGTTTGAGAAAGCGTGAGTATGCAAAATTCCCTGTCTCTTATCATAGTCGCACTCGTGCATTGTGAAAGATTGTGATTTTTATTGAACTCGCGGTCACGCGCTTTTTCCGCTATTAGCATAGCGCCAGCGATTATCTCGCTGCAACTTCAGGTGAAATCTTGTGGTGAGCACAAGTTAAATCTAATTTTACGGAGCGAGAGACTCGAGTTAATATTATTAGATAAAAGGAAAGAAAAAGACGGAAATGCTTGTAAGAATAATTATTTAACAGTATAAGTGCCTCTAAAACGCATCTTAGAGACACCTTCAAAACGTTTGAAACAAATAGCACGTCTTTTAGGCGTCTCCAAGATTTGTATTAATAGTAGTCACCTGAAACTTGTCCTATGTGAGATACTCAGATACGAATTTAGAGCTAGAACCAAGTTTTTCAGTTGAATCGCAATTACAGGTATAACATCACGAATATCGTACATTCAAATGAAAAATTCTAATATAACTTGAAATTTAGATCTGAGTATCTGACTTAAAACAAATTGCAAGTAAACTCTATTAATACGAGCCTATATATAAGAGGAGATTTTTTTCAATAGTAGTTTAAACTTAGATTTTAATTTAAACTCTGTTTTAATAATATGTTTGAGGTTCTCGTACAGAATTTAAACCACAATTAAAAAATTGAAAAATTAGGCAAAATTATACCGTATTATCAATCCTTTTTTTAACTTGAAATTTATCTCAACCAAAGTGTTCTATGCTTTGAGTAGCATTGTACTAAGTGGGAAACGTGGCAAGATGGTATCACAAAATTAATTCCAAATTAAAATTAGTTATTTAGATAGTAAAATAAATATATAAAGGCGTAAGCACGCTCGTTGGGTGCTCTGAAAATACGTGGGTTACATTTCAAAATGTCTTTTTTGAGGAAAATTTTATCCATAACAATAAAATCGCTCCGTGTCTCTTATCATAGTCACATTCGCGCTACTTCCTCTATTAGCATAGCGCCAGCGATTATCTCGCTGCGACTTCAGGTGAAACGCTGAAAATCCATAACACATAAGAGAAGAGAACATATAAGTGAGAACTATAAATTTTCAGTGGGACTTTCCTGAAAAAGAACGTTTTGGAATGCAACCGATTCTGCGACGTTTAACGATAATGTCGTTATCGTTATGTTGTCGTTGTGCAACTACAATATACAGAAAAGCTGCACGACGATAACATAGCGATAACGACACAGTAATTAAGAATTACAGAGTCAATAGCGAATAAACTCCTTAACTATAAGGCCTGATCTACAATAGATGGAGTAAAAAGTAGGAGCAGGAGTAAGACGAAATGGAAATAATTTATTTCGCTTACTCCCTTACTTCAGCTTTTACTACTTAATTCAGACTTACTCCATGTGACTCCATGTGATATAGACAGGCAAACTTTTACTGGAGTAAGGGAGTAAGCGAAATAAATTATTTCCATTTCATCTTACTCTTACTCCTTACTCCATTTATTGTAGATCGGGCCTAATGCGTCGTCTACAATGGCAGTAGAAGTAGTAGTAAGAAATAAGCAGTAAGCAAATTAACCAATTCTATTGTCACGATTCAAGAATAATCGATTGTGATTGGTCCATTTACTTATTGCTTATTTATTACTACTACTCCTACTGTCATTGTAGACGACGCATAACTTCTATAACTCCCTAACGCGAATATCACGCGATGAGATTCAAGTGAAATCGCGGCGGACGAAGGTTAGGTCTAATTCGCGAGAAATTCAAGTTGTGTATTGATATAAAGGAGAAAAAAGTAAAGTTTAGCCGATTACTTGTTGCGAGTGTTCGAGGCAGCGTTCTCTCGAGGTGGAAGGCCTCTTCGACGAGCGATATTTCGACGATAATTCGTATATTTTGCAGATTCGATTGCAGACACGCGGCGCGCTTTTCTCTTCATGGGCGGCGGCAAATTCGAGACTTGGCCGAGTGGCGGCGCGCGTCGTCCCGACGCGTCGACCTCGCTGCGGCAGAGCAGCGCCATTTCCGCGTTTCTCTGCTTCACGTGCGGTGCTTGTTTCGTCTTGAGCTTGATCTGCACGTGTCTGGCGACGTTGGTCGTGCTGCTGGACCAGACCGTCGAGGCGGCGAGCTATCGACACGGTAAGAATACGCGAGATAGATCCTCCACGCGAAAACGACAGCCGACAATCGTCGCGCGAGTCCCATGACTGCTCGGCGGCAAGTTCATGCTTTCCGTGCTGCGTGAAGTTGGCGCGACACCTCCTGGCATTGCATTGATCAATGCCGAAGGTGTTTGGCTTTGGTACATATGTACGTTTGGATTAATCGAAATATTAAAAACTTTCGTAAAGACGGTGGAAGATAGCGAGAGAAGGATGCTCGGCATGAGTCCGTTAAGATCTATCGAATGAGCGATCTATCGAATGGATGATCTATCGATGACTTTTCCGATGGATGATCTATGAATTCTTCGGGATTGAGTCCTTTAGGACTTGAGCAACTTTCAAAATCTGTCTTTCCTTTATGCTCTATCCTTGATTTTTACTCGTCCCTGAAACATCCTAAGAATCACAAAGTCATCAGTAGGAAAATAATCCTTTCGGAAAAATGTTGGGACGATTCTTCCTCAGAAGTTCGAAGCTCGATTATCGATTAGGCGAAGCCATGAGTCCACTTTAAATCGACATACGAGCGATTGGTCGCACCAGTGTTCGGATCTTGTATCAGCTGATTAGAATGGTGTTGGGAAAAATCGTAGGATTACCTGGAACCAATATTTAAAGAGAGAGAGAGAGAGAGAGAGTATCAGCTGATCGTGAATAAAACGCGCTCGACAAGATGCCCTGTATACGACGGTACGTTCTTTTTTCTTGTGGCAATGCGACGCGAATAATTATATCTTATCAGTGCCGTATTTTATCGCAAAGATCGTATTACTAATAATCTACAATTAGATAGGTTAGACTTCGAGAAGATTCTCATGCCGCATCGAGACTCGTCGCTCTGAATGTCCTTTTAAACTTCTAGGCTCGACCAGTCGGTAAGGACATTAATTAAATGTTTGTTTCGACCTGTGCTTTGGCAAAGTCGTCTTCGCATACCCTCATTGGTCGTATCAACATGTGAGGTCAATCAAGTTATCGAATAATATGAGTGGAATAAACATTATCTTCTAAAAATTGTTACTTCTAGATTATGTAGTAAATTTAATCTCACACCTCTTTTCTCTCTCTCTCTCTTTCTTACTCTATATCATATAGAATTATTTTGTAGATAATAACATAAAGGGTTAATTCTGCTTGTAGATTCAAATAGACCAGAGCCATTCACAGTGATGGGCAAGGACATAGAGTCTGATGTAAGCTTCCGGCTGCCAAAGGAAGTCAAGCCTGTACATTATGATCTTTTCCTGCACCCAAATCTTCAACAAGGCACATTTTCCGGCAACGTGACCATTCTCCTTGATGTTCTTGATAGGAGAAGGACCATAGCTCTTCACCAAAAAGGCCTCAACATCCAGTCTGCGAATCTGACTACATATGATCGAGAAGAGAACTTTGAGATCGAACTCTCCTCTATCAGTAAACCCACAAAGTATGAGATCTTTGTGATATCTGCCAAGGATGAGTTCAGTTCAGGATTGTACAACTTGAACCTGAAGTTTGATGGCAGTCTTCAGGACAAAATAGTTGGCTTCTATTCCAGCAAGTACAGGGATCCTCAAAATAAAACTAGGTAGCATTATGTGTAATTTTAACAATATATACTATAGTAATTTGTGAGGATTACTGTGAGATAAATGCAAAAACTTCTCATAGAGACTGATACGATGAAATGGATTAAAATTCTAATATATCTTATATCTTATATATATCAATCCACAGGCTCATTGCTACTTCCAAATTTGAACCAACTTATGCTAGACAAGCTTTCCCGTGTTTCGACGAGCCGAGTTTTAAGGCAGAATTCACGATAAAGTTAGTTCATCCCACAGGTGATTGCTATGGTGCCTTATCCAACATGAACATAGAGGTAGGCAGACACTTTCTTCCAGTCGATTGTTGTTGCGATTATTAACGTCAATGTCAATGTAAATCAGTATCAGTAATATCAATAATATTAGTATGTAAATCAGCATCAATAATATCAGTAAACATCATTATCAGTAACATAACATCAATGTTAAAATTTCTTACTGAACAGTGCAGTATAATGTGTGTGTTGTGTAACAGTTGTTGAGTGGAAAGTTATAACATTGATATAATGTTACTGTTGATTAGTTGGAAAACAGTTCATCCAACGATTATTTTATATTCAAGAGTACATTGGTGAACCAACCAGCGTCTGGTCTGACGACAGTGAACTTTGCAAAGACCGTGCCCATGTCGACGTACTTGGCATGTTTCATCGTCAGCGATTTTGTGGCTGTAACCAAGATGGCGAAGGGCTTAAACGGTCGAGAATTTCCGATCAGTGTTTATACTACAAAAGCACAAAAGGAAAAGGGATCTTTCGCCATGGATATCGGTGTGAAAGCTATCGAATATTACATAGACCTATTCCAGATAGATTATCCATTACCGAAACTCGGTAAGCATGCAGCAAAAATGTACAAGTCAAGTTCGATTTGTCGTAGATTTGTTGTAGATTATTGTTTTAACACGCTCTGCTTCTTCGTAGATATGGCTGCTATTCCGGATTTCGTATCTGGCGCCATGGAAAATTGGGGTTTAGTGACTTACAGAGAAGCAAGACTTCTTTACGATAACGTTACGAGCTCCACCGCGACAAAGCGCGATATCGTGAACGTAATCTGTCACGAATTCGCTCATATGTGGTTCGGAAACCTCGGTACGTGCTTCTATGCAGCTTTAACTGCCACATTATATTAATTGTGAATAAGAACATACCATATCTTTCCTCTACAGTCACATTAGCCTGGTGGAACGATTTGTGGTTAAACGAGGGTTTTGCAACATTCATGTCGTTCAAAAGTGCCGATACCTTTCTACCAGACTGGGGATTTGTTAGTCCTTTGATAATAATCTATACATATATCATTAAATGTCGGTAAGAGATATTCAGAAGAAAATGCTCTTTCCAGATGGAACAGTTTCTCATTAATGAGATACATACCGTATTCGTAACCGATGCGAAATTGAGTTCGCATCCTATAGTTCAGACGGTCAAAAATCCAGATGAGATAACAGCCATCTTCGACGAAATAACATATCAAAAGGTAAATTGTTATATGGCGTAAAAATTATATTGATGTTTCTTGACCTTTTACTGAGATTTGTTCGAACCTTTTCAGGGGTCATCTGTGATTCGCATGATGGAGAATTTCATCGGGCCTGATATTTTCTACGGTGCAATCACCGCCTATCTGAATAAGTATGCCTATCAGAATGCAGAAACCGCGGATCTCTTCAATATTCTGCAAGACGCAGTCGGAAATAAGATAAACGTAACTGATATTATGAACACCTGGACGCGGCAGAAAGGCTTTCCTGTTATCAACGTGCGAAAATCCGGGAACTCGTATGTGCTAACTCAGAAACGGTTCCTGGCTGATCCAGATGCCAAGTCCGATCCCTCGGAATCGGATTATGGGTGAGCTCTTCAATCTCGAAAGAATAACCAAGAAATTTATTACTAATAAAGATATATTGTTAAAAATAACGTACATTATGTGTGTGTGTGTGTAGATACAAATGGACAGTACCCATAACTTACATCACAAACAAGAAGTCGCAACCTATTCTCGTGTGGTTTGATAAAGATGCAAATGAACGTAAGAATTTTGATTTTACAATTTATTCGTAAAAAACGTTCCGTTTTTGTAAAACTTACCTTTATTTTACAGTGCTAATCGAGCTCGATGAGCCCACCGAGTGGATTAAATTCAACGTGGATCAGGTTGGTTACTATCGAGTTAATTATCACCTGGAGGATTGGAAAACTCTCTGTAATCTACTTCGGGACGCTCATAAGGTAAATTCGCATAACTCCTCCACGCATTAATTTCTTATCCTTATTATACAGATTTGTTTTTTGCTTTTTCTTCAATTAAGTTCATCAAGCATCTTCTAATTGTTCCGCATTTTTGACTGCAGAGATTATCGGTATCAGACCGTACGAATCTCTTGGAAGATGCCTTTAGCTTAGCGGACGCCAGCGAGCTCGAGTATGGCATCGCGATGGATATAACTGCGTATCTTCCAGAAGAGAGTCACTCCGTTCCATGGGCGGTCGCGAACTCGAAACTGACAACAATCGACACTTTATTATCCTCCACGAATATATCATCAAAGTTCAAGGTAATATAATTGATTCGAGTAGATGTAGATGACGTTTCATTTATTTATTTTTTAAGGTATCTTATCAACGCTTTGAATTTGATCATTCTACATTAATAATTATTTAATTCGGTGCTGCTAAATTTCAATAAGGTGAACTTTACTTCTCAAATATTATTCCAGAATTACGTGAGGGATCTCGTGGATAGCACGTACCACGATGTAAGTTGGGACGTCAGTGATGCCGAAGATAACGTGATGCTGTACGTAAAACAATCTAAAGCAAAAGTGAATATAACTTTATATAATTTAATAACTTTCTTCTCTTTATGGTTGTCCTCATTGACAGAAGATTGCGACCGACGGTGCTTGAGCTCGCCTGTACTGTGGGTCACACGGAATGCCTGGACGAAGTTGGCGAGATCTTCAAGAAATGGATAAGTGACTCCAACGATACGCGACCGCATCCCGACATTCGTCAACTTATTTACTACTACGGTTCGTCTACCGATCTGCTTGTCGACTTTCTCTTTTGTCTATCACATCTTTTAACGCTACATTCACTTCTCTTTAGGTATGTATCATGTTGGGGATGAAGCGAAATGGAACGTGATGTTTCAGCGATTTGTAGACGAGACCGATTCCAGTGAAAAGTTGAAGCTGATGATTGGATTAGCAGGCATACGGTCCAGTTGGATCTTGAGCAAGTTAGTATCCCAATTATCAACGATCTTTCACATCATTCCTTGCGTTAAAAATCGAATATTCTGTTTTTTCTTTTGTCTTTTAATTCCTTTAATTTCCTTTCATGTCCTTGACTTTGTTTTTTAATTTAATATTTCCTTTTCTTTCAGATTCATCACTACGGCTACCGATGAGAATTACGTGCGCGCTCAAGATTTCTTCCGTTGTTTAACTACAATCTCGAAGAATCCTGTCGGCACACCGTTGGTGTGGGACTGGGTGCGCGCGAACTGGCAATTCCTGGTGGATCGATACACATTGAACGATCGATATCTCGGTCAACTCATACCTGGTATCACGAAATCCTTCACCACGGAAACGAAACTGAACGAAATGAACGCCTTCTTCGAAAAGTATCCCGAGGCTGGCGCTGGCGCGGCTAGTCGTGCGAAAGCTCTCGAGACTGTTTCGAACAATATCAAATGGCTCGCGCGGAACAAAGATAAACTCGGCGATTGGCTGAACGAGCACACACATAGCAACTAAATTCTTCAATGGTAAACTAGCGTGTTAAACGTGTCAAACGAAAGCGCCAAAGAACTTCTCATTGCACGAGACAGTACTTCGAGGAAAAGGAGGCTTGAAGTCAAACTGTAAAATTTTTCTTAAAGGACGCATAAAGGTAAATTAATCGAGATTTTTTATAATATATAATCTTTTACACAAATATTGTGGCGAAATTACAATGTAAGATATTGCTATATCAAATTGTGTCTTCATTCATATAATTTTTTAATATAAATAACGTTAAATTCTTATTAACGGACGTATAAAGATAATTAAAATTTTTTATAATATATAATATTTTAAATAAGTAATGATAAAATTTTAATATAGGATATTGCTACAATAAATTGTAGTTTTATTCGTATAATTTTATAATATAAATAACGCCGCCGTGAGACAAATCATGATGTTAGATCAGGGAACTTGCATTTTTTACGTTGACCATAATTCGTGATTGAAAGTGTTAATCTGTTACATAATCATACATATGTAATATGATATAAGACATAATATAATGTAATATTAAACAAACGACAATATGTGCCTACGCTGGACACAAAGATACCAGTCTGCATTTTGTGCGAGTCGTTTTTTATATATGTTTACAAACAGCCTTGTATAGTCAGAGATATATACACAAGTTTATATGCAAATATAATTCTGTGATCAAACGCAAGCTCGCTCTTGCGCCGCCAATCGCTCGTTCGCTGTCCCCGAAATCACTCGCGTTTTGGTCCCGAAGAGATAGTTTCGCGCGCGAGAAGTGAAAATTCGGTGAAGGTCGGGTCCGTTATGGCGTGCGATTGTTACGATCGTTACGATCTACTTCTCGTGAAATTGCTTTAATGCGCACTCAATTGACCGATTATTGCCGTAAATAAAGTAACTCAGACGCCAAGGGTTTTAATTCGTCGCGATACACAGCACCCGCACGAGATCTTCGAACGAGAAAAGAAAGAACGAAGACCCGTCTCATACTGAGATCCGAAGTATACTGAAAGAAATCATCCGATAAAAAATTAACAAACGTTAACAAATATTAACAAAAATTAACAAATATTTCCGATCAAAAGACCGATGAATTTTTATACTCGATCAGGAAACATCCGATGAGAAATGTTGATTCATATTTTTTGATCGGTTTATTTGATGTAATATTATTATATGATCCGAATGATAGAAGTATCCGATTAAACTTAATCGGATATAAAGATTGATCGGAATTTGAAAATATCCGAAATCGAAAATATCTGTTAATTTTTTACCGGATAATTTCTCTCAGTATAGCCAACATTTCTGCAGTTGTATTTTCGCGCAAGCAACTTTTTAGTCGCTAAAATAGTTCAGTTCGTTTCAATTTGCGGCGATCAAAGATATTACGGAAATTTTGTTCAGACAATTCTTCGCGAGATTACGGACATCGAATGGCAAAGCAGGAACATTTCCGTGAAATACGGTTTGTGTAACGAAAAACACGATGAAAGGCTGTGTGAGTCGCTTTTCGTTTTATTAGTACTACCAAGTGTGGCAAGCAAATGGAATTCGACGCGCAAAGCACACGATACCCAAATCCGAGACACAGAACAGATCCTCAAACCGCGCTCATCGACTCGACATTACACTATAAATAAAATAACGTTTTCGTAACACATAATTCTACAAGTGAGCCACTAATTTAGAACGAGTAGTAAAGAGAAATTAATGACTCTCTTTCTTTATTTTTTTTCTTTTCTTCTTTTTTTAGAACAATATTTTTATGCTAATTTACACTCAATTCATATTCAGATTTGAATTCAGAATTAGGTGAGGGTTTCTCACTTGAATCGCGATTGTGGATATAAATATCATATAATTCACATATAATATCACATATATCATATAATTTAATCATAAATGTCACATATATCATATAATTCAATTGAGAAACTTGAATCTAATTGCAAGTAAACATGTCTCGCCTGAGACAAGTTTTAAATGACAACTATTGATACGAGTCTAAGGCCCGTGTTAATAGTCATTACATGAAGTCACATGAGACTTCTCCCACATGAGATACTCAGCTATGAATAGATATGATATTCAGATTTAGTGTTAGATTCGAATTTTCCACTTGTATCACACAATATATGTGACATCACATTTGCGATCGCAATTCGTGATCACATTTAAGAGATTCACATTTAAATTCAAATCTGAGCGTCTCGTCTAAAACAAATTTCAAATACTACTATTAATACGACTCTAAGAGAGAAGAGAGATAAGCCATAAGTAATCATTCGATCGATGAACGGAAAAATTCGAAGTGAAAAACGAGAAACTACGTTCGCGCTCGCGAAAAATTCTACTTGTAAGTCCGATAAAAATTCCGCGGCTAAGTTCCTCCCCCTCTCCAGTGTAACGTAGATAGATTTTTAAAACAATATTTTTCTGCTAATTTACACTCAATTCATACTCAGATTTGAATTCAGAATTAGAGGATTTCTCACTTGAATCGCGATTATGGATATAAATGTCACATATATCATATAATTTAATTGAGAAACTTGGATCTAATTGTAAGTAAACATGTCTCACATAAGACATGTGTATACAATTTCAGTTTCGTGTCACACACGGAAGAAAGAAACATAATTAGCCAAGTTATCTGCCGGCACCGAGCCTCGTTAACCGCAGGCCCTCTCCTCGCCTAATCTCTAATCCCGAATCAAGACCCTTTCAGTTCTCTTTGCACTACCATCTCGTGCAGCTCACGCCCATCTATTCCCCTTTCATTTGCGACTCACTTATCATGATCTGCGATGCTGGCATCGAAAATTCGCGCGGGAGAAGCTTCCGCGTTTGCGGCGCGCTCGCGGCGCAGCTTTCAAGTTGAATAGAGAAGCGTATTTGCATTTGGAGATAATCGAGATACTTCAGGTTACCTGACGTTATTTTATTTGTACACACGGATATACGGATAATTGAAATTTAACTTTATCCGTTCGAGAGACCGAGGAACGCGAGACCAAGTAGAACAGAAAATCACAATAATAATAATAATAATATTAATTTGACAATGACGTCAAAATGATTACAAGAGAAAATGACTATAAAGATTCACATTTTGATCATCGTTTGATTTTCTTATTATTTTGATACTTTTGATTTCTTCTCCTACTTGGAATGCGTACCGTTTAAATCCGTCACGAGAAAGTCCCTCTGAACTCTCACAGACGTTCACTCTGACGTAACTCTTCTACTTTCGTTACTACTACTTTGTCGAGCGGTAATAGGAGCCGTCGTCATTTCCGCTCAATAAAAATGTGCCAATTTGTTACATCGCGCTCGATTGACGTCTGGCTTGTGCGTGGAGGATATATCTTTTATTGGTACAAATGTCGCGAATTCCCCGAACGATCCCACGCGAGATGTGTCATGCGTTCCGCGAGAATCTTTCTCTTCTTTCATCTTGCTTTCCCGTTTTTAGAGCTGGAAAACAGTTCTGAGAATTATAGGCGTATACACGCGAGCATTTCGTATTCAAGAATAATTAATGCTATCCAGGCGTAATTAATTTCAGTGTGAAGCCCTTTCGAAAGTAAACGCGCCTTGGTTAAATTCGCAGATTACCGAGAAGTATTCCTCATAGTATTCCCTCATAGACGCAGATTCTCGATTCCACGAATCCTTCTCTTGATTGATCCTTGATCCGCAAAACCCTTTGTGTTCAAGCTGAGGCACGTATCTGCGATTAGCTGTTTGCTTATTTAGCTCCCGGGAAGATTGCGAACGTAACGTGTCGTCCTACGCAAATGTGTCCATCTTGTCGCTTTATCGCCGCTATAATACGCTTCTCGGCGCGTATCTTGCTTGAAAGTTAAGAGAACTTTTTTCAGAAACTTCTCGGCGCGTGCATCTTGCTTGAAGGTTGAGAAAACTTTTCTCGAAACTTTGCGACGGACGTTATTGCGTTATTTTTCTAGAGAGCTGCGGTCAGAACTGCCAACTTGAAGTCAGAGTTGTAAAGATTGAATTTCTCTCGATTTATGGGATTTATTAATGGGTACTTTCATTTAATAACACAAGTCGACATAAGCATCATTCTGTTTTTGTTCCATATTCAATGAATAACAAAGATAGGATGATGCAGTCGAGTTGTGTTATTAAATGGAAAGCACCCATTAATTGATTTGCATCAATACGTTCTTCGATTCTCAACTAATTGACGATTGATTCGAGCAAAGTCAATCGGAAAATGTTTAAATCGACGATTGATTCCGACAAATTCAATTAAAGACCGTTCAATTGACGATTGGTATGAGCGAAGAGAATCGAATATCGTTCAATTAATAATTGTGAGCTTAGAGAAAATTTGATTAAAAATTGTTTAATTTGGCAATTTGATTAAAGGCCGTTTACGATTGATATTAATTGACGATTGATATTAGCAAATTCTATCAGTTCTATCGAAGAGTGCTCGATTACTCAAGATTACAATTAGTTTTGAGGATAATCATAGCCGGACGCCATCGTGGCATCGTGAAAGATGCTGATGATAGAAGAGTTTATGTAGGATTCGCGTTGAGGAAGACAGACCGGTATTCATAGTCGAATCTTATTTCAAGACTGTCTTAAGTAATGTCTTAAGATGCGAATACGGCTCTGTGATTAGTTCATGACATCTTAAGACAATACTTAAGATAATCTTAAATATAAGATCGGACTATAAATACCGGCCATTGTGTGGTCATATTAATTGTCACCGAACAATGTTCGATTAAATTTGCACATACCAGTCTTAAATGACTTTTAATTAATTGCTATGTTCAGTCATTAATTGGACGATCTTTAATTTGCTCACATCAATTGTCAATTGAGCAGTCTTCAATGGAATTCGTTGAAATCAGTCGTCAATCAAACGACCTTCGAGTGAATTTGTTGAGACTAATTGTCAATTGAACGGCCATCAATTGAATTGGCGCGATATTAAGGGGATGCTGGAGTCGATGACGAACTCGAACAATATCGATAATACAGAGACAATCGTCACTAACATAATCACGCTATCCTTTTCGTATTTCTTGTATATACAGAACTTATATGAAATGTGTTGTTTTGTTTTACCATATTCAAAGGAAAACCTAATCATATATGTATAAAAATCTTTCAGCAAACTTTTTCGATATTCTTAAGCTTCCAAATGCAGATGCGAAGGTAGAGCAATGTTCTTCAAAATTCTGTTTGGAGCATCCACACTTTCGATATATACAAACTGTAGAACTTTTGGATTAGGCAAATATTATGCTAACTGACAGCTTGAGATTTTACATTAAAAATTTTTTGTTTGTTTTCGTCACATATCGAGCAATGCTCCTATTTATTTTTGCACGTACTTTCATTGCGTAAAAGCATTTGTAATTCTGTGTAATCAATACGACGTAAACTTTGCAGAAAAATGTCAATGTTCTGTCAGTAAAGTTTTCAGCTTCAGCATCCCCTTAACCGCCAATTAAGCTCGATAATTAATTAAAAAATAATTAATCACTCGCAACCCTGCCTGGAATGCATTCAATTACCCAATATGTGAAAAGAAATCTCAGACATGTTTCAAGAATTTCATCTCGAGTAACTAGAAAGCACCTCCGATATACAATTATATATATTGTTCAGAAAAATAAGAGACAACGCGGTTGGAGAACGTGGATTTAATATAATCGGTATTTTACATAAATAAACATAAATATACATACATAAATATACATACATAAATATACATACATAAATATATAAACATAAATATACATACATAAATATATATACATAAATATATAAACATAAATATACATACATAAACATACAAATATAAATATACATACACAATCAGCAATCATATTTTATATAAGTTTACATAATTCGTGA